GAGGCGAGTCAGACTCCGTTTCTTTCAACTCCCCGACGTGCTTTCTCTTTAAATGTTCGTGCTTTGCAAACCTTGCAAGTAATCTTTTTATTCGCCGTATCCAGGCTAAAATGCTCCCAAACTTTAGAAGTCTTGGTACGCGTACCTGAAATTGACGCCGCCATATTTGTATGTTACCGCTCAGAGACAGAGACACTACTGCGCATGAGCGACTCTCGGCAGAGATCATAATCAAGTGAGATGCCTCACTCTGTTGGAAAAACGCGTCTGGCGACAATAGTCGACAATGGAATTCATTGTTGACAATTTTTATCATCGATTTTTATCGACAACGTCGACTAATCGTTTCAGCCCTACACTGGAGGTGGAAAAACAGAGTAGGTGGCCAGAGCATGCTTACAATAATGTAGTCCACAGTGCTACCGGGTTTGCTCCACCTTACCTCATGTTTGGTCATCATCTTAGGCTCCCAGTCGATTTGAGTTTGGGTGTGGTAGACGCACAACCCCGCCACAATTTGCAGGGATGGGTCTTTGAACACCTTCAGAAGTTATCTTACGCTTATGAGGTGGCACGAAATAGGATGACTAGTGCAGCAAATAATGAAAAACGGTGTTATGACAAGAAAGCCAAAGCAACTGTGCTTCTCCCTGGGGAACGCGTGTGGGTCCGGGATAGGAACAGACAAGAACAGGGCAAACTAAACAGTTGGTGGAATCCAGAGCCATATGTAGTTGTTTGCGTTGTCGGGGACACCGGTCTGGTTTATTGTGTTAGGCCAGAGAAAGGTGGGAAGGAACGAACCCTGCATAGAAATGCTCTGAAGACTTGCATTGCTCCTTCCACCAACACGTCGAGGGAACAACCTCCCGTTGAAACACATTAACTGCCTTTGATGCTCTATTACCCTGTGATTAATGGAGAACCAGAACAAGTACTGCGCCGCTCTACATGTACTATGAGAGGGCAATGCCCATCTCGCTATAGAGACTAAAGATTTGCCGGGACTGGCCTTTTTAAAGTCTGGGGGGGTGTGGTAATGTGGCTCTTTTGTTTTATGTTGAAGTTGGTTTCATGTCTTGTTTTTCTGATTTGAAGTTGTTTGCTTTTCTTGTTGGATTTAGTTTGGATTTGCTGTGTTGCATGTTTTCTTCTGATTTTGTTTTGGTTTTGAGGTGACGTTGCCACATGTACCCGGAGACCTCGTGGCGGCAGCACAGGTGTTCTCCATCAGCTGAGTAGCATACAGACGGTGGTGTTGGTGATAAAAGGCAGCTGCACAGTTGAAGAAGAGAGAAGAAAGCCGGACAGAGCACGGGGGAAAGGAGCTGCAGACGGAGAGAGGACCGTGCAGTGAGGACCGCGCAGGGTGTTGGAGAGAGAGAGGACAGCTCGGCGTGTTGGAGAGAGAGAGGACAGCCCAGCGTGTTGGAGAGAGAGAGAATGGCCCGGCGTGTTGGAGAGAGAGAGGACAGCCCGGCGTGTTGGAGAGAGAGAGAATGGCCCGGCGTGTTGGAGAGAGAGAGAACGGCCCGGCATGTTGGAGAGAGAGAGAGAACGGCCCGGCGTGTTGGAGAGAGGACGGCCCGGCGTGTTGGAGAGAGAGACAGAACGGCCCGGCATGTTGGAGAGAGAGAGAGAACGGCCCGACGTGTTGGAGAGAGGACGGCCCGGCGTGTTGGAGAGAGAGAGAGAACGGCCCGGCATGTTGGAGAGAGAGAGAGAACGGCCCGACGTGTTGGAGAGAGGACGGCCCGGCGTGTTGGAGAGAGGACGGCCCGGCGTGTTGGAGAGACAGAGGACGGCCCGGCGTGTTGGAGAGAGAGAGGACGGCCCGGCGTGTTGGAGAGAGAGAGGACGGCCCGGCGTGTTGGAGAGAGAGAGAGAACGGCCCGACCTGTTGGAGAGAGGGAGGACGGCCCGGCGTGTTGGAGAGAGAGAGAGCGGCCCGGCGTGTTGGAGAGAGAGAGAGAGCGGCCCGACGAGTTGGAGAGAGGACCCCATGCTCCTTCGCGTCAGCTAAGAGTACACCCCTTTTTAGACTGCCCACTGACTCTGCTGTTCCTGACTGCCCTGCATTTTTTTTATCTTTTTTCCCTTCAACTTATTTTATTTAGCGAACTTTTTTTTTTTAACGAACTCTTTTTTTTTTTATAAATAAATTATTGAACTTTTAATCTTTTAAAATTTTTAAGACACTGCTCACAATCACCGCAGTCTCTTTTGTTTTGTTTGTGGATGATCACACCTCTCGGGGGTGCCACAAAAAATGTCATGCATTTTCAGCTTTATTTGGCCAAAAGCATTTTGTTCCTTTTTTTTAAGCTATCATAAGTCTACCTGAAGTTTGTTTCAATGATACAGATTTTAGGTAGACAAACGTTTACTTATACAACATATTAAGGTTTAACTATTTCAATAAAAGATGGTCTAAACAAATTACTTTTTTCCGTTTTTTATTTTTAACACTATTAGGTACAATGTCTGTACCTGAGCTCTGAGATATAAGGCAGACACTGTAGGAAACTCCTCACTTCAATCTCTTCATGCGTGCAGCCTTTCAGCTTCACTGGTTTCTTCTCTGATTGGAGCTTCAACACTTCCAGGAGGATGGAGGTCTTTCTCTCTGAGAGCTTTATGATCCAGACTGGAGGAGCTGACTGGAAAACTGACTGTAATGATGGAAGGAGACTCAGACCTGTTTCAGACTCATGTTCTTTCATCTGGGAGTAAAGATGCAACAGTAACACTAGACGATATTCATCATCTTCTTCCCTGAAAGTCATTATTTCAATATTTCTTAGATATGCAAGATTCCTTTCTAGAGAAAATCTTTCATATCCCAAGCCTGATGCCAACAGCTCCACCATCTTCTCTCCTCTCAGCTGTTCTCTCTCTGCTGCTGCACAGAGTAGATTCACTAAGAAGTTTGTTTGTGTTGAATTGTTGGAAGTCTGGAACCAAATTCTGCAAAAATTAAAAAAGAGAAAATGTGGCAATTATTTTCTTTAAAACCCTGTCTGTTCAAAGTTGATTGTTAAAAATAGCATGGACAAAACAAAACCCACTAAACAGATAATATACCTAAGCTTTGAGATATAAGGCAGACACTGTAGGAAACTCCTCACTTCACTCTCTCCATGTGAGCAGTCTGTCAGCTCCACTGGTTTCTTCTCTGATTGGAGCTTCAACACTTCCAGGAGGATGGAGGTCTTTCTCTCTGAGAGCTTTATGGTCCAGACTGGAGGAGCTGACTGGAAAACTGACTGTAATGATGGAAGGAGACTCAGACCTGTTTTAGTCTCACTGTCCTTCATCTGGGAGTAAAGATCCAGCAGGAAGTCACTCTGATATTTGGCATAATATTTTTTTTTCCCTAAAGGGAAAGTTTTATATCTGCAGACCGATGCTATCAGCTCCAGCATCTTCTCTCCTGTTTGTTGTTCCTTTTCTGCTGCTGCACCAAACAGATTTACCAAGAACCTGATTTGTTCTGACTTGTTAGGTGCCTGTAACCCAAACCTGAAAAAATGTCAAACAAATAAAGGGAGAATGCAGAATTTGATTTTCTTTCAAGCCTCGCCTGTCTGCAAAGAAACACTGACAATATTTAAAACAAGAACAGAATTGACAAAAAATGACTGCAATACTGTACCTGAGCTGTGAGATATAAGGCAGACACTGTAGGAAACTCCTCACTTCACTCTCTCCATGTGAGCAGACTGTCAGCTCCACTGGTTTCCTTTTTAATTTCAACTTTTCCAGGAGGATGGAGGTATTTCTCTCTGAGAGCTTTATGGTCCAGACTGGAGGAGCTGACTGGAAAACTGACATTAATGATGGAAGGAGACTCAGACCTGTTTTAGTCTCATGGTCCTTTACCAGGGAGTACAGATCCAGCAGGAATTGACACAGAGACTGATCATCCTCAAGCTCTTCCTTGTCAAAATAATAACACATGCCTCTTTTTTTTACAAGAAATGTATATGAGCAGACTGATGCTAATGGCTTCACCACCTTCTTTCCTGTCAGCTGTTCTCTTTTTGCTGCTTCATAGAACAGATTCACTATGAAGCGGGTTTGTTTTGATTCGTCGGCTCCATTGGAAACAAAACTGAAGAAAAAGCAATAAAAAACGTTACAAATGTCACAATTTGTTTCAAGATTCTTTTCTGTGTAAAGAAATATGTATTGACTGAAACAACAAAACGGAAATGTATAAGAAAATTTACCTAAACTCGTCAATATGAGGCAGACAATCTAAAAAACTCCTCACTTCGCTCTCTTCATGCGAGCAGCCTGTCAGCACCAGGCTTTTTTTCTCTGACTGGAGCTTCAACACTTCCAGGAGGATGGAGGTCTTTCTCTTTGAGAGGTCTATGCTCCAGACTGGAGGAGCCAACAGGAAAACTGACTGAAATGATGGAAGGAGACTCAGACCTGTTTTAGTCTCACAGTCCTTCAGCTGGGAGTAAAGATCCAGCAGGAAGTCACTCTGATATTTATTCCTGTTTAGGTGATTTGAAGGCAATGTTTTATATTTCCAAACTGGTTTCAAGAGGTCCAGAATCTTCTCTCCTGTCTGCTTTTCTCTCTCTGCAGCGGCACAGAACAGATTCACAAAGAACTCTGCTTGTTCTTGCAATTGTGGCCTGTGAAAGCTGAACCAATGAGAAAGAAATATTTATCACAAATCTCTACACTGAAAAAATATAAGCTGGACACCAATGACAAAAATCTACTTTTATATTTATGATTAAATTACAAATAATCATATTGTAAAATATCATTTTTGCCTTTAGATTGCTAAACTATATTTTAAGACAAATCATGCAGTAACTGAAGTCACAAATAAAACCGATCATTGCAATACCTCCAACTCATAAAAGAGCCAAAGGAGCCAGTATTTTACTAGCCAGAAATAAAGCTTCACAATCAACTTCAATAACACAGTTCTCAGTTACTCTGTGAGATTGTATAATAACAGATCGTCAACTATAAATTTATCTACTACTGCATTTAACTACATTTGTTAATCTATAAAATTAATACAGAATAGTAAGCACTTTACCTGTATAGCCAGATTAAAAATAGCATGAATTGTTGTGACTCACCTGATTAGGCTGATGTTTGACAAAGCCTCCAACAGGTATTCATGTTGAATTAAGCCTTGATCACCACTGCGCCAATACAACCAGACTGCCACCTTAG